AATATATATACATACTATATATATATATACTATATATACATATATTTAAATATATATATACATATATTTAAATATTTAAATATATATATATATACATATATTCTCTCTATATTTATTTTTAAATATATATATACATATATCTAAATATATATATATATAGTTGATAAAATGCTATTTAATACTAGTCCTTTTTTATATAAACAGTTCTAAATGTCTCCGTCATTATCTCCATGTTTGGACGACTGTTCCTCAGTCCTTCTCACTTTCTCCACTTCTTTTATTAAGTATTATTTTAATATGTTTTTTTTTTCCCAGGATCCTCTGAGAAATTAGTATAAAAAACGTTTCTGGAACAGTGAAGTCCTGGTCTCAGGATCAGTTTTTGGTTCCAGTCTTAACATCAGATCCTTTTACATGAGTCACATCCCAGTAATTATCTTTATTACAGTTCACAGGACCTGGCGTGTGTGTGTGTGTGTGTGTGTGTCTCCAAGGCAGCCACACACACAGGTCAACCGCGGGGACAGGAACACCAGTCGTCCACCGCATCGCCGCCTGTCAACAAGTACCGCGCCTGTAGGACTCAGGACGTGGACGTGTTGACGGCGCTGGAGCGGAGAAGCTGCTGTTCACACACACACACACACACACACACGGACGAGGCGTCTCCTGCACATCTGGATCTGAAAGCGACTTTGCACCGAGCTGGATGTCAACGCAACGAGGACCAATGGGCTGCGGGCGTCCGTCCCGGTCTTTAATCACGACGCGCCGGTCGCCGCGGTCTTTGCAGAGATTAAAACAAAGCTCGCCGTGATTTGACCGTGAGTCATGTGGAATGTTCATTTCGGATGATTTAACTGCGGCGTGGAAAATGACTGACAACTGCTGGGATCAGAGCGACGCGGGGCCCCCTAGAGGCCTGGGGTGGGGAGCTGGGGGGGAGAGAGCACATGCTCACATCTCACTCATCAAAGTATTTGGTAATAGAGAGCGTGTCAGTCGGGGGCCACTGATGATGATTGTGAACGTGGTTTAAGTCGGCGCTGATGATGATTGGAAAGGACAGGGCGGGGGTCAGAGGTCAGCCGTGTCACTCTGCAGGAATCACATCAGCACCAGCGACGGCGGCGGTGCTGACGTGTTCACGTGGTGATGCTGGTGTGCACGCCGCGGCTGCACCTGTAATGGCTGCCAGCTGAGAATCACCTCCCGAGGGACAAGCGCGTGTATGTGTGTGTGTAATGAGGCGCTGGCATGCGAGCGGCGGAGGGTTGCTTCCTCCACAGGTGACACCTTTGACCTCTCATCTGTTCCACGTTGTGGGAGAGAAAGTGAAGGATGGAAAAACAGGAGGGGGGGGCGGTGGGGGGCTTTTACCTGAACACATCAGTAATACTACAAATACTGCAGTATGTAGTTCTTTATCAGAGTAAATGTTAACGTCAACTATATTTGTTGGACCCTCATATAAAATGAAATCAAAATCACTTTTTCTCTTAGTCTATTATTGGATGTTTATTTTAGAATCCAGTTCCGGCCAGATTGGATAGCTCCGTGGGCCAGATTTGGGCGGTGAGCCACCATTTGATAATCACTGGACTGTACCCAGGTGTTTTTCAGGCATCACTACTGATGGAAAGTTTTGGATCAAATGATTTCAGTTGTGTTCATGGTCAGGTGGTCGCCATGGTGATTTTACAGAAAACACACTGAAATCCTCTCGTCCTCATCTGTTGATTCTGTCTCTGTTTCGTAACGTTTTTTTTATGCTTCTTTTTGGTCAGATTTCTCTCAGATATTCTACGTCTCATCTTGACCTGTTTGAACAAAGGGAGGAAGGAACGATGATGCTCTGCTCCGATGTTTTGGTCCCTGTATAAGAAACAAACCTGGAAGTCGTCTTTTACAGGAACGTTTTCTTCTCCTCTCCACTCTCTCGTCCTCCTCCTCCCCCTCCTACACTGCCTTTCTTCACTGTGGCACTTGGTGGCGCAGTTTGGCCAGCCTCTGGGAGAGCTCGTCCTGATGCCTTCCTTCACTGTGGCACCTGGTGGCGCAGTAGGGCCAGCCTCTGGGAGAGCTCGTCCTGATGACAGAAACAAACATGTGAAGAATGGATTTTTGACTTTTTCACAAATTTAGTTTCTTTATAAACAGAAAATTGCTCTTAGTGCTCAGGTGTTAAATATGTATTAAAACTAGAGGGCAGTGTTGAGCAGCCTGTTGTGCCTGATTGTTTAGAGAATCATTAAGGATCGGTACATTTTCGAAACAAAACACCCTTTTAGACTTTATTCTGAAAGAGTCTGTGTATCTGAGAGTCATTTTATTATGGGAAAATTGCTGAATTCTCTTTGATTGAAGTAAATTAATAATTCCTAATTGAAGAAAGTTCGCAGTGAAATGCAGAGACAGCTACCTGCTCAGCCGAGGCCACGGTAGAAGCCAGGGAGGAAGACTGGCCCGGAGGAAGCTCCAGGTTCAACTCCAGGCTTTAGAGAATGAAAAAAAGAAACTTGGATGTCAATTTGACTGACGTTAGTAACATTATTGGTAACAAGACACTGAGGACGGCGTCTGGTAACCATGACAACATTCTGCAAATACCTAAAAGAAGAAGAAGAAGAAGAAGAAGAAGAAGAAGAAGAAGAAGAAGAAGAAGAAGGTATAAGTAAAGACGACGGAGGGTCTACAGACAGATGTCCAGTTATGGTCAGATTTTCACAGTGGTTCTAACAGACTCTGTACGTGTTTACACCTCCGTCCTAGATGATGGAGGTCAAAAGGTCGTACTCACCCTGCCTCGTCAGCCATCTGATGTAACAGTCTGTCCACTTCACTCTACACCAAAAGAGATGAGAGTTGTCGTTCACATCATCATCATCATCATCCTCATTATAAAGTATGTTCTTCTTGTGAAGAGCGCCACAGCGCCACCTGTTACCTGGGGGGTGGCCAGGGTGGTGGTGTTCCCCATGGTCTCCTCGATGTGAGCCGTCTGCACGTCCAGAGTCTCAAACTGTTTTTCAAACTTGTCCATTAACGCAGAGATCTGGAGGAGATTCACACACGACGTGACATCAGGGATCAAATAATAAAATAAAATAAAAATCAATACAAAACATGGAGGCTCAACCTCAGGTCAGCGGCCCCCGGCTTGTGTCAGAGCAGCCTGACTGAGATCAGGACAGTCAGTCAGTCTACAGTCTGACTGACAGTCTGACTGACACATCAGTTTGCACAGAACAACGACTGGACCAAAGTCCAGAAAGAACCACGTTCCACATGTTCTACCAGACCCCGTCCAGATGAACAGTCAGGACTGAAATTGTCAGACATTTTCACTCAGACTGTTGGAGATCTTAATGTCAATTTTCATTCAATCATTTGGATTAGTCACAGATAAAATCAGGTGAGAAACACTGACCTCTACCTGCTGGTACTGGTAGTTGTTATTATTCCATTATAAAATATAATTTCCCTGTTTAGTGTAATAAGGTAAACAATATCTATTTTTTATTTTTTATTTTGTTTGTTTGAGATGATGTGATGAGGTCACGGTGACATCACAATGACATCATGATGTAGACCTGTTCATAAGGACCAGGTGTAATGCCGCTCCAAACTCAAATATAAAACACATCAATAATAGTTTCAAAAAAATATTTTTTCCTCTTACCTTTTCCAGGTTCATGCTCTTCAGCGTGTCGTCCATACTCTTGACCACTCCAGTCATGGACCTGGACACCTGTGCAAAAATAACAGTAACAGAATGAACAGCTGAAACGACTGTAGTCTCATCCTGCTGAGGTCCAGATGAAATACAAGTGCTGTATCCCCGAGCTTCCACTAGGTGTCATTTTTATCTTGTCAAATGAGACAACCTTTAATTTCTCTTTCCTCCTCAGTTCAACATTTCAAACCAGGGTCTCATCAGGCTCCATCACGGCAGGAGTGCTTTGGATAAAAAGAGTTTTATTATTGCTGTGATGTGTCATTGCTTTAGGAGCCAGCAGGTGTCAGTATCACGGCAACGCCGCAGCGACAGAGACAGACACTGAGGAGTCATCATCATCATTGCTCTTCAGTCTGAATTAAAGCCATTTGACAGAAACTCTTGTGAGATTCTGAAGTGGAAACAGAATCTGAAGAGGATCGAAGGAGACGAGGGTTTGAAAAACGGTCGTACATGTCTGAAAGAACATTTAAAAATAGCTGAAAAAGACTTCACGTCTTCAGATAACGTCACAACATAAGAGCTGGAACACATTCATGATCCACACGCTCATACTCTCCGACAGGAAGAGAAGAATTTGAACCTGTGAGATTTTTGTGATTATCAAGAAAATAAGTTCTGTTTTACAGAAATGAAGAAAAAAAATGTTTTAAAATTGAAATTCAAAATATACTAATCTTAATTCATACAATACTACTAATAACATAAAAAAAATAACAATGATTTATTATTATATGCTGGCCTGGTTCATGGTGATTGCAGACTGGACCCTGGAGGCCACGGCGTCCACGCGAGCGCTCATCCTCAGGAAGCTGAGGGACTGATGCTTTTGGCGAATGGAATTCTCCGCGTGGATCCTGGCAGCCTCCATGTTTCCCTTCTGGATGGCCTGAGGAAAAAAATGTAAAGAAAAACAAACCTGTGAATGAAGGAGGTGTAAACCATCTCTGCTGTTGGCCCTTCACTCCGTCCACTGGTTTATGAACCAACCTGCTTCACTTTGTTCTTCTCCGATCTCTCATCCTTGTCACACCTCTTCGAGTTGCGCTCCAGCTCCTTCACAGCAAACTTCAGGTTAAATAAATGATCTGAGACTTTGGTTAAGGAATGACGTGAGGTTGGAATAAAACAGACGTTTAGAACGGAGGCAGGAAGGCAGGTCTGGAAACACATTCAAAACACACACAAAAACAGAAGATTTAATGCAAAGGTTTAATTGATATTTTTGAATTCACCCATAACTTCAAACCTTCAAACTCATACATTCATATTGTTTAAAACAAGTCGATGGAGAGTGAAATATTTTGGCCTAATCTCTAATGACAATGAACACGTGAAGGACTTTTAGACTTTTAGTGAAAACAGGAAACCTTCAGAGAAACTGTACTTTTAGACCATACAGCTGATTCTTGGCCTGACTTTTGCCAAACACCAACTTTTAGACCATTCTTGGCCTGACTTTTGCCAAACACCACATTCATGCTAAAACCCACTTAGCTACCTCGTTAGCCTAGCCTTGGTCTTCTTTTGCACATTCATCTTTTGCATCTTTTTTTAACTTTTTTACAAACTTTTTACATTTATCTTTTGCATTGTTGACCATGAGCGAACATAGCTACATAAAATAACTTTTTTTAACTTTTTTACAAACTTTTTTTTAGGAAATAAATTTAAAATTAGGACTCACACAGGGATTCTAAAATAATATTGCCAGATTTTCCAACAGCCAACCGTAGTGAGAGGTGGAAGTGTGTGAGGAGCTCAGAGCTGAGATAATCTGGACACAATCAGACCTAAACACCGACCGTTTGTTTGTGAACTTTAACACTCTCTAAACACGAGAGAAGACACAGTCATTCCAATTGGTTTTAGTTGTTTTGGAGCAAATCTTGTGGCCTGTGGTCGGTTAGTCATGTTCGGTCGACATAAAAAAAAAACAAACCTGCTGTATTAGTCTGGATTACTGGATTGAAGAGTTTTTGTCACGGTTTGTTCTCGTGGTCAGTTTGTTCTTTAAAGGTGTAAAAAACACTTCCGGTGTATGTGTGTTCTGGTGAGATGACGTGTCTGTGATTCAGTGCAGTGAAGAGAATAGTCGACCCGCCAGTGTGTTCTTGCGTAACAAAACCGTGTGAATCAAGAGTGTGGTTGAGATGAGCGTGATGACGTCAGCAAAGGTCACAGATGCACGAGAAAATTTGATTAATTCATTATTTTTGATAAAAATTAAATTCTCCCTAATGGACCAATTAGAAAAGGTTAAGTTTCCGCGTTAGTGTCTTGGAAAAAAACACGTTTTAACGTTAATGTCTGGACGTGAATCTCACGTGTTGCTGCTGTGTTTTTTAAAGGATACTGTCCATTTTCGACCTGCGTGGATTTCCACTGTGACACCGTGACTCTCGATGTGTTTGTGAAGTATTTGGTGGAAATATAAAATCAGTCAGACGCTTGTTTTGGTTTCAGTCAGACTGCAGTGTGTTCGTTCTCAGGTGAGATAGTTCCCTCCGTTGTACTTCCGCTTTTGTCAAACAGCTTCCGCTTTAGCCTTTCAGCGACAGACAGTAGGTTTTTTTTATCGTCACATAAACAAACACCATTTATAAGAAGATCAAAGCAAGACACTTTGAAGATAAAAGAAAAGTATTTTCAAATTCTCCATATTTTTTATGTAGTTTTAAACATTTTATAGGTATTTAGCGTTAGTTATTATAAGTTCTGTGGATGACGTCAAATACGATTTGCCTGTAAAGTACTTCAGTTTCCTCCCACAGGATCGGTTCACTACGGTGTGAATTTAAGTTTAAATAGTTGTCGTGCATTTAGAATAATAATAATAAAAAAATACTCCAAATAATTTCTGTAAGAATGTTGCTTTTTATTTAAAGTTATTGTTTTGTTTTTTTACATCAATCATCTGTGTGGAGGAGCTGTGTTTTTAGACCACGGTAAATGATTCGTTATCGCGTCTTGTAGCTAAATTAAGAATATTTTAGGTAAAATGTTTTACTAGTGTTTCCGTTGATGACGTTGTTAATATCAGTTAAGTTAAGTACAGAAATCAGTGTTCTGTCATCAGTTAAGTACAGAAATCAGTGTTCTGTCTGTGAAAAAAAAAATCTGGATTAAAAACGAATCGATCTCGCACCGAACACGATCCCGCCCCCGAACCGATACATCTTCATCTCGCTTCATCTTCGTCTTTGGACAACGATGACACTCCAGCCGTCTTGACATGGTCACGACTTCGTACGGCGTGCACGCGCCTCCTACGTCACGGTGGTTGAAGAAATGTGTGTACAGCAGACACAAGTTCCATCCAGGCTAAAAATAGTTTGTACCCGCTTTCACCGGGTTGTTGCACACGTCTAATGACGTCACGCGTGTCTCTTTTTCTTGTAAATGAGTGGATGAATCTCTCCCACCACTTTTCCAGCCACTCGCCGTTGGTCTGAGAGTAATATTTGAGAATAATAATTTTTTTAAGCTTTATTCCCTGGTCTGTGTGTGATACATCTGTACTCATAACTAATACAAAGAATATAAATACATATAAATATACATATAAATATAAACACAGAGTCAGCTGAACTGGTTGGAAAGTGACAAATAATGGATTATTTTGTGACCTGAAATAAAATACTCCATCCATCTTAAGGTGCCTGCAGCCGGAGGGATGTGGATTGAGGGGGGGGATTAACAGCTGGATCAGGGGGGAGGGAGAGCGGATGACTCATACTGTATCAGCCAACAGATATAGTGAAGCCACAGCGGTGGTGTATTTATATAATGATGCCTGTCTGTCCTGAGGACGCCAAAGAAAGAGTGATGTTTCACACAGAAGTGGAGAACACATGTTCATCCAGCTGTTTCACCTGGGGCTGGTACTGATGCCACGGGGTAACAGTGAGGAGAGGCTGACTCAGTTCAAACAACAACAACACACACACACACACACACACACACACCAGAATTCTGTCCTTCCCTCTCAGGCTGCTGACGTCATAAAAACCTGGCTCATGGAAACACAGAGTCCTGAGATCATTCCAGTAAAAATAAACTTTTACAATATTGTGGTTTGGATTTTCATTTTTATTAAAATGAGCAAAACATACTTGAATGACCACCTGTTAGCGGCAGCATCACAACAAACAGCCCATGACACACACACACACTCTCTCTCTCACACACACACACGCAGACACACACACACAGTAGTCACAACTGAATGACGGCAGGTCGCCATGGAAACTGCGTTACACTCCGGGCGGTTGGGGGAGAAAACAGGAGCTGGGACTCATTCTGGACCTCATTTCAGCACCACGCGTCTCCTGGACAGCGCCCGGATGAACAGGCGCGCAGCCTCGTCCATCCTCAGGCAGGGACTCCGCCGCATCAGCAACACCGCGACCAACCAGAGAAAGCAGCAGCTCCGAGAGCAAAACAGAAACTGCATCTGCGAGACACACGGGCTGAGCTGGACCGGAAGTCGGCGGCGACACGAGAAGACGAATTCCGCCGAGCCAGGAGCCTGTCGCTCCTGCCACAGCCGCAGCAACAGGTAGTGTCACCCTCGACTCTTTCATAAAGTTGCATTTGACCGACTTTACTGCGGCTGCACGCAGACGCTGCCGCCGGTACTTTTGACAAATCCAGCCGGGTACTGAACTGCGGGTAACTGCGTACACTTGATATCGACAGTGATGAGTGAAAGTGCAGTCAGAACAAGAAGGTTGATGAAGTTTGACTTAACTCACCCCCCCGGTGAGCTGGGCTTTTTAATCAGACAAACTGACTGACCACGTGACCCACACGGCTGTCTTTAATCGAAACACTTTGATCGAAGTTATTGTTTCGCGTGTTTTTGGTGTTAAGTTGCCACCTGGCGACAGCAGAGATGTTTGCACCTTCAATGCAGATTTACCTCCTTGACACATAGAGAGAGGACTAACCCTGAGACAGGACTCCCCTCATGTCCAGCATTTTAGACCCTGAGACAAAACAAACAAAGTTCTCGTGGTCCGTTCGTGTTGGGTCCGATGTACCGACGAACCTCGACTTTGTTCTGCTGTCAGTGCCCATAGATTACGTGTGAGCTGAGCTGATACGCCTGGATGAGTCACTCAGGCTGCAAGTTTGCAGAAGCGTACAAAGGGGAGGGGGTGGTGTGGTGGGAATAACAGAGGCCAGCTGGAAAGCAGTCCTGCAGTGTCCTTCTGCCTCCTCAATGCATTGTTTTACTGCATACATGAGCACCCCCCCCCCAACCCCCATGACCTCCCCCTCATCTGGAACTGTATTTACCACTGCAGCATGTCTGATGGCTATTTTCTGCCTCTTGAAGTTTGAAGCTTTGTGAGATAAATCTGTGATTCATCTCCTGGACTCTGGGATCCTGGTGTTGTTCCAGACCGTCAGCCCTCTCCTGTTGAGGACGGGTGATTCATTTCTAATGGGCAGAGTGGGTTTTTTTTTTTTTGGTAGCTTTACAGCTACTTTGAAGTGAAGTGCCATTTGCTGAAGTCCATGTAGGATGGTTTTCATCGTTCACTCCCTGTAATAGAAGCGTTAGCGGTCGTTGCAGACTGCAGCCCTCCACTGTCTGACGATCGGCTGCCAGAAAACATCCCATTACCACTCATTAGTATCCCGGTGTTTACCCTGCTGCTATCCACAAATCACAGCAATCAGTAGCATTCAGTGGTAGCCCTGAGTGACAACTATTGATTAGGGTGAACAACAGATCATAATGGGTTGCTGCGGGCCACAGTTGGACACTCAAACACCAGCACTCAGTCCCTAAAACACTTTGGACTGTGACTCAAACACAGGCTCAGCGGCACCACAGAGGCAGCTGTGGCTGAGTGGGTTAGTTTGCTGGGATTAATTTAAACGTCTTGAGATATAACAGAGACAGAGTGTTCAGCAGCTGATGATGAAGAGGATTGGACAATAAAAGGAGCACATTTTATTTAGATTGGTCTGAAAACCTGAGAAGGATCTACATGTATAAATAAATATAAATAAAAATATAAATATATAAACGTTTATTATCACCTCATGTGCAATTCAGGCACCAAAACAGATCTGTGTCTTTAATTAGTGACGTTGGTGTGATTAATGCAGACTGCTGGTGATGACTCATTCAGCTTAACCCCTTCACCACTGGTGAAAACAATCAGTAAACACAATATGGCTTTGTGGGAAAAAAAAACATTATTGTTGTCAATATTATTATATAACAAAACTATTATTTTTATTATTATTATAAGTAATAATAATAGTTATTGTAGTGGTTGAACTATTTTGTTTTATTACAGTTGTTAATGTAATTGAAATAGTGTCTTTTTATCGCAGTGATTCAGTGATGGATATAAACACTTGTCACTAAATACGCAGATTATTTATTTCCAATCTCACGTTTTGTTTTTTTTCTCTTGACATCTGACGTGCGCTGGCGGCGGCAAAAAACATTTATGCAAATCATATTTATGTGCTTCCCTCCCTGAGCCAGCTTGTCAACACAGCAGTTACATTAGCATTGTGGAAAAGCTGTCAGCCAAACTGTGACCTGCAGTCAACAGACGTGGAGGGAGCGTCAGCAAGTGCTAAATATGTGTGTGTGTGTGTGTGTGTGTGTGTCCGAGTGTTGTTGTAATCAACTCTGTGTCCTCCCCCACCCCCCCACCCCCCCCTACAGGGCAGCAGTATGCCTGAAACCAAATCCAACCAGCGGTTCCACAGCCTGAATGTTGAGCAGGTGGAGGTTCTCCATCAGGTCCTATCAGAGGTGGTTCCAATCCACGGGCGCGGGAACTTCCCCACATTAGAGCTGCGCCCTCGCGACATCATCATCGCTGTACGGGCCAGGCTGCAGAAGCAAGGCATCACCGTCAGAGATGTCCGTCTGAACGGCTCCACGGCCAGCCACGTTCTGGTCCGGGACAACGGAACAAGCTATAAAGACCTGGACATCATCTTCGGGGTGGAGCTGCCCAGTCAGGAGGAGTTCCAGGTACGAGGAGTTTACAGCTAACGTCTCAGAAAGAGCAGTGAATTCCATTTTTCTGTAACCAGAGAACTAGTCTCCCTGGAGCACTGCGTATTGATTTGTGTGAAGTTGTGGTCATAATGATGTTAATAGAAAAGGGAATTGAATAAACGGACCACTTAGATTAAGGATAATCACTGAGATTGTTGTTATTTTCTACTATCTCATAAAGAAAAGGGAACCACTGGAGTACGACAATATTGAGTTTAACAATGTAAACGATGCTGCGCTCAGATTACAGTCATTAGTTGGAGCTGTCATGGTGTGACCTCTTCTCCTCCCAGGTAATTAAAGAGTCCGTCCTGGGCTGCCTGCTGGACTGCCTACCTGCGGGGGTGAACAGGGAGAGGATCAGCAGCGCGACGATGAAGGAGGCCTACGTCCAGAAGATGGTGAAGGTCTTCAACGAACACGACCGCTGGAGCCTCATCTCCCTCTCCAACAACAGCGGCAAAAATCTGGAGCTGAAATTTGTGAACGCGCTAAGGAGACAGTTTGAGTTCAGCGTGGACTCCTTCCAGATCATTCTGGATCGTCTCCTGGAGTCCTACATGCAGCAGGGGGCGCTGCACAAGAGGAACGTGATCAAGGAGCGAGCTGTGGAGAAACAGAAGAACGAGTCTGCGCCGCACGCAGAGAGTTCTGCAGACAGAGACCGGTCCAGGTCAGAGGGAGAACAGATCAGTCAGACCAACGTGAAGGACCAGATCCACACAGACCAATTAGATGACAGAGAACATTCTAGTAAAACAACGCATCCCAATGTGGAGGAAGACGGCAAAAAGGAAACACCTGCGGAGCTCAGGGTTTCAGAGAACTCCACGGAGAAGTTCCCTGAAGAAGAATCCACTGACCGTAACCTTCAGGACCGCATTTCAGAGAAGAAACAACTCTCTGAGAAAACTGCAACGCCAGTTCAGACCGAACTAAGACACGGTCCAGAATTATCAGACCAGATCACGACCTCAGCAGAAGAAGAACACTCAGAGGAGACCCAGCCGTGTGAGGATCAACCTCCAACACGCCTAAATCACCAGGAAGTCTCCGTTCAACCAGAAACCTCCGACGAACAGGGAGATCTCACCCAGCAAGAGACACCCGACGAACAGGGAGATCTCACCCAGCAGGGGGCAGAGGTCGAGATGCCAGAAACCTTGATCGCCACCCAGGCGGGAAAATCACAGACAGCAGAGCATTCCGTGGAGAACGACCACGAGGTTCAGGAGTGGAGTGAAGGAGATGAAGAGCCTGCGTCTGCTCAACACGCCGACGTGCTGCTGGACACCGATCAGGTTGAGAAGGAAAGGAAGTCAGAAGAAAAGAGAGACATCGAGATAGAAACCGGTGAACAGGTTCAGGCAGAGCGGTCACGTGGACCAGAGTCAGACAACATCCAGTGTTCCTGCATCTCCACCTCCTCTCTGACCCCCACCCCTCTGACAGTCACCTCACCCCAACCACCTGACCCACAGGACCCCCCCGAGGTCCACAGCCCAGCGCACGACGACGACAACGACTCAGAAAATCAACCTCACATACTTGAATCCAACAGCCCCCACCACACTCAGGACACTTTACCTGCCCCCCCCAGCCTTGTGTCTGACAGACAGACTGTCTCCCCATCTCTGAGTAAGTCCTCAGGCAGACTGGCCCACATGGTGGTGCTCAAACACACGTCACCCAAACGCCCTCGCAAGATGTGCAGGAAGGTGGCCTCCAGCCTGGTCTCTGAACGTGAGCCGCTCTCGTTACCGTCTCTGGACACGACCCCGTGTCCCAGCCCTGAACCTGAACTGGACCTCAGTCCAGAGTCGGGAGCTCGCAGCTCGGACCTCACGACGACCGTAACATTCACTGATTCTCCAGGAACAAACTGTGAGTCTGGAACTGATTTGACTCCACGTCTAGACGTAGCCTCCAGTCGTGAGTCACTCACCGACGTCGGGTCGAGTCCTGCTGTAGAACCTGAGTCTTTACCTCCAGAACCAGTACCTCCTCAACACATCACAGTCACTTCATGGGAGACGAGAACCCACAGCCAACAGGACACGTCGCCCACGCCAGTAGATCCTGAAGAAGAAATCCTGATCAAGGTTAAAGAAACGACCTTTACCCCCGGAGACTCCGAACCTCCCGACTCAGAGGAGACGTTTTTTTCTAAAACCGATTCCTGTGAGGTGCAGGAACATTTGTTCACCTCCGAGGCTGAGCTCAGTGACGAAGAGGAAAAAACCACGGCGTTCACTTCACTCTGCCCTTCACGCCCCCTCAAGCCCACCGTCACCTGCCTCACGCCTCCAGTGCTCAGTTTATCTCCTCCCTGCTTCTCTCCTTCACCCCCCAGCCTCAGTCCTCCCCCGTGCCTCACCCCTCCCTCTCATTGCCTCTCGTCTCCATTGCAGAGCACAGCCAGCCAGGCCACCAGCTTCGGCTCCCCCCCGCTGAGCTTCAGTCCTACCTCGTCGTGTCTCAGCTCACCGCCGTACCTCACGCCTCCTATGGTCAGCCTAAGCCCTCCTCCGGTTTGTCTCACCCCACCCT